TTTCTTTGGTTTTATAGTTTTTGCCTTTGTTACATATATATATATATATATATATATATATAATATATATATATATATATATATATATATATATATATATATTTACTTTTATTTTATTGTATATATGGTATGAATGTGCCTCACTCAGCTTTAGTACTCAGTGCACTTAAGTGTGGCAAAATGTATTATTTCTCAATAAAATGACTTTAAAAAAAATTATTACTAAAAGATTTTTTCTTTTCATTTTTTGTTGTTTTTTTTTCTTATTATTTACTTTATTTTAAATTAATTTTTATACGTACGTACGAGTATGTACTCGTATAATAACATAGAGCCGTAACAACTATTGTTAAAGATTCTATTACTATTCATCAATATAAAATTAAATGTATGAAACAAGTTATTAAAATTAATATTGAATAATGTAAGTCTGTTTTATTATATAATGTCGTCTATTTTCTTTTAATATATATATATTAATACTTTTAAAAATATAGAAATAGGAAATCTATATTTTTGAAGATGGACTTCTCTGGTTATTTATTCGTAAATTGTTTAAATTACTTTTATTTCTCAACCATTATATTGATTATTAAGCACACTACATCTATTTGGGGCATGATCTCCATAGAGTAAAAGTAAGATAACCCATTTCAGCAGTAACGTATATTAAAAATAAAGAAAATTATTATGAAATATATATATATATATACATATATAATATATATATATATATATATATATATAAATTCTTTATGAATTTAAGGTGTTTTAGTATTTGTTTATTACAAATAGCCTTTATTGAAAAAAAAAAGTTATATTTTTTAGGACCTATATAAATTTCAATATGAATCATGACTGTTTTCGTTTAAAGACTTTTTAATATCAAAATGATGCATTTCTGAAAAAAAAATATACAAAAATAAATCATTTTTGTTTTTTAAATATATAATTTTATAAATTTTTAGTTATTAGGGTAAAATATCTAGTATTAAAATGACAAGTTGTCAAAATGTGGCAAAACGTACGGTAAAGATTAATAAATTAAAAAAAAAATTTTAGACACCCTTGTTTTACTGTTAAACAAAAGCTTGCCTAATTTATTCCTTGAGATCAACTATTCAAAATTAAAACATAATTTTGTTACCTCTTGAATTTACTGAATTATTATTTTGGCACACTACTCAAGCAGCCCCACTCATTTCAATCTATTTCGATTAGTATTTATCAAACATATATACGTACGTACAGATGTTATTAAGGTAATTACGTTCATGTGGTAATACATTTGATGTTTCATCAAGAGGAATATCCTTACGTCATCTTAAACTCGAGTACACCGTAATTCTAGTGAGTCACCGACATTAAGATTTTTCCCTCTCCCCTCTTTGCCACATAATTTATTTTAAGCCTATTAGTCAAGGTCTGGGAGGAAAAAAGAAACGCGATGACGCTAAGATGCATTCCTGTCACCAAGCAGTCTGCGAACTCAGTCCTCAACCTGTTGTATGAATTCCACGATATAATCAAGACTGAATTCATTTTAAGTCTAATTCGTTCTAAATGTAAGAGTAATAGAGTAAAAAAATATAAAAATAAATAGCGATTCCAAACGCTTTAGTATAAGATGAATCCACGATGAATTGTCTAAATCAGTAAATTTCAATACAAATTTAATAAACAACTATAAACTGGGTTGTATACGCCTCTGATATTTGCATTACAATTTATTAATTATATTAGATAATGAATAATCAATGAACTGTTTATCATACATTATCATTTCCAGGTCAAGACAACATGTCGACGTTAAATATTATCGGTATTTTAAATATTAAATAAAAGAGTTAAATATTATCGATCTGTAATAGATTTTTATGTCGTGAAAATAATGTTTATAATTAGAGTCGCTATTAGACATCTTGGCAACATATATTAAAATCATTTGGGGAAAGAGAAAAATTGACCCATCAAATGTTTTGCCACTTCAAGCATCAGAAAAAACAAAGATCACATTTGGCAAAAAACATTATATATCACACCAACATTTTAAAAAAAGAACATCAACTAGGATTTAAATATATCCAATACTCACTGAAGAAAAAGGGAGGAAATATGACAATTTAGGAAGGTTATAATAAAATAGTTGATCAGCAGAAAATACAAAAAAAATAAATAAATTGAACAGCAGAGGTAGATTACAAATAAATAAAAATAAATACACATTATGATATTAATTATACAATTAATAAATTATATATAATCATAAACTACATGATTATTATACAGTAAGTAAGAATATGGTATGGTCAATTTATATTATAATTCTTTTGTAGTAATAATGAGCTTCTGAGTTAAAAAAAATTAAAATTGTATTTGAAACAGGTATAATAATAAATTAAAATTGAAAAACAAATTTTTATCAAATAAAACCATCGTTAACACAAAAATAACTACGTTGAGAATTTAATAATTTCCGTAGTTAACACAAAAAATATGCATTTTTTTTAAATTAAAAATAAATATGAATATAAATAATATTTAGAGAGATATTCGGAGAGCAGCCGTAAATATAGTTAAATAAATATATATACATAATAAAATAAAAGGAAACTGAAGATGCAACTGCACAAAACCATTTCTATGACGTTAGTATATTCAGATATGGCTTCTACAGCGTTCCCTAACAGAAAATAATTTACACATATCTCGTGTTATATAACGGATGGCATATTGCGATTCTTATTATCTAATAGCCATTTAAAATTGTAATATTATATAAGGGTATAGTAAACGGAATGTAGGACAACGTTAGCTAATAGTTTTTTTTTTTGCCAAATAAACATATTTTTTTTAATAACATTTGAATTCCAAATTATGAAATTGTTTTTTGTTGATGAGTTGAGTTATGCCACAAAACTGGAAAGGTAACTTTAATTATTGGGTCATATTGGAATTTGATAATTAATAATTAATAAAGTGTTATAAAGAATTAGACTAAATTTGAATAAAATGAACCAGATAAATACCTTCAGGGCAGATCATAGATAGGGGTTCTATGAACACGATGATACGGGTTCTTAATTAATAAGATGAGCAGAGGGATAATAGAATCACCCAGATAAAAAAGATCTGCATAAGAAGCTTCTATTGAGACAATACACAAGAAGAACGGATTCCAAAGCCTTTGAGAAGCCAAGCTGAGGATACATGATACCAAATGCTACAGAAATACGAGAGACCTCCCAGAATCTCGGGTTCCGCCAGAAAAAAAAAAATAAGATAGAACAGAGGTTACCTAATCTCTATAGGATCTAGGCTCTACGAACATAGCGTAAAATGACGGGCTACCGAAATGAATTTGTCTTAACGGTGTTCTAAAGATTGTGAAATGCTCCGAAGGTAAATTATCAACAGAAAATAACGGTAACGGAAACGAGAACTAAGTGTGGAAAGTTCATGTGGGTAAATCTAGCTAACAAGAACGAATAAAACAAAATATTTATTCTAGAACCCATAATTTATACCATAGAAAAATGTGATATTCAGGGGGAAATTTCTACATGAGAAAGGAAGAGAGAAAAATAATATTAAAATAAAGAAATCATTTAAAAATAATAAACGGAGTAATAAATTTGAAAAAAAAGATACAGTAAAATGTAAAAACTAAAATAATTATCAAACTGGAAAAAATTTAAAATAAAAATCATGGTAACGAAAAGTTTCAGGGAGCACCAAATTTCAAGAATAGAACTATACTTTCAGAGCAGAGAGAAAATAAATATAAAAGAAAATGAGAAAATCTTAGGCCAACTTAAATATTTTGTTGATTTAACGTGTTTGACTAAGGAATAGATACATTAAATATTAATATATTTAATTTTTCTACACTATTTTATTTTTGTTTTGGTCTTGCACGAGAAAGGGAGAGATGAATATTATATTATAAAAGGAATTTAAACTCATTATAATTGAAATAATCAGTGTAGTAAAATCGAAAAAAAAAATGAGACATTAAATTGTCACCTTCCAGAAAACTTTGACATAAAATTAACTAAAGGAAAATAGCTCATACTAGTCCAAGCAAAACTAAAAAAATTATCAAAGAAGAAAAATGAAAAAAAAATGTAAAAAAAACTTTTTAGAGAACATCAGATTTTTTTTTTGTGGCTTTATGCATGGGAATATTAGCCAATATATGGTACTAGAGTTTAAAGAACATAATTATAGCTACAGAGCAGGCACAAAATAAATATACAAGATAATGAGCAAATAATAGGTCAATTAAAATATTCATAACATCTTATTAATATTTTTTTTTTTTAGATAAAGCAATATTAAGAAATTGTTGGAAATTTAGGTCTCCGATCCTTTAAATTTAAAATATAAACACATCGAATATTCTGATGCTAATAAAAGAAAAACTTCTTTGCAATATCGTTTGAACTAGGAAAGTGAAGGGAAAGTCCCGTTAAGAGGAATATGGTTCCCATACATTTTCGATAAGTAAAGCAGAACTTCTCCCACCTTAAAAAAAAATTTATCTACAACTCAATAACAAGATTTGAATGAGCTGAAGAGAGTGATAGAGGAAAAAAACAACAGGAGGTAGATGATTTGTGGTTGAACGCAATCATACATCATTCATTGTATGGTTAATCCCCATCTATTACCCTTAATTTCTGAAGGTAGGACTCGCTATATTCTTTGAACCGTCTCAGCCACGAAGAGCTTTTTTTTGAAACAAGTATAGAAATATTTATAAAATAAATTAATTTTAATATTAGATTTCACAATAATTAAGATAATACCAATAATCTAAATCTCACCAAAATTTAACATTGTCTTTCTTTTTGAATTTAAGCAAAGCATAATTTTTATTTCTGTATTGAGTTACTTTTTAATATATTTTGAAATTCAGTCGTTTCTTAGAAAATCACGCCAATTAAATTTCTATTACAAAATAATATAGAATAAAATTAATGAGTTAAAAAAAAAAAATGTTTCGCGTGCCATGTAAATGGAATTCTTTCAGACAGCGTTACGTTGGCGGATCGAAAAGTCAAGGACGGCTGTTTTACGAAAGGGTTCACTCTAAAGCCTACTTTCGAAAAATGTAAGCTTTTAAAATTAACAAATATTATAATATTATCAAATACGGCCAAGTCATGACAGCTATTTTAATTTGAAGGCCACTCTCTAAAATGGATTAGACGAAATTTTTAAAATTAAAATTAACAATTTTTTTTCAGCGAGATAAATCTCAGATATAATCGTAGTGATGCTGTATTCTATAGGTCAATTTACAAAAATATTTACTGTTTACTTTAATGAAGTTAGTTAAGAGTCAGTGAAAACATGATTATTCGGTCAAAAGGCAATACTTTTTTTATGCATGAAAGTTTGAAAAAATTCTAAAACTTTTTCTGTAAAAACTATTTATCTTTCTACATTGTCACATAGTTGTATTAAGTCTTATTTCAAATAAAGAAATTTGTATTATTCAAGGAGGTAGTATAATAGTATTTTTTTTTCAAATGAACACAACAGAAGAACAGTAATATCATTCGATCTTATTTGACAATATTTTGCTAATTTTAGTGAAGTATTTATTATTTCTGTACTTTAGAAAAAAAAAAAGGAAACGAGTGAGTGTAGAGGCAAAGAGAATCCCTGATTCACGAGGCTAATTTAAAAAAAAAATTCTTTCACAAAAGTATGAGAGTTAAAAAAGTACTATAAATAATAATAATTTTGAGATAAAAAACAAAAGTGAAGATTTTACGATTCATTTATTATTCATTTACATGGGGATTACTTATTTATTTTAGTCCAATAAACCAAAGTTTACAAAAAGAATTTAAAAAAAAAATTCTATTGAAAAAAAGTAAAAATATTTCTTTGTAGTAAAGAGAAATCTCTGACATTATTTAAAACATGACACAGCACATAAATTTAAAAAATCCGTCGATATCGTGCTTAACTGGTTTTCAAATTACATCTTATATTACAAATGTTTAAATATTTATAACTTAAAAATCGTGTTTTTAAGAATATATCTCACATTCTGTATAGTGTTCACACAGAAAATAATTAATTTATAAAAGTTTAGAACAAAATTGTCTAACTGTTGGACACAAGAATGAATGAGATGAACGGATTTTGAATAAGATAAGAGATGACCTGAAGAGGGTTTTATGAGGCAAGTTGTATAATTAAAATTTTCGAATGAAATCTACTTTTATAGAGATACCACTCTCTCATATCGAATAAGTAAATAGAAAGGAAGGAGATGGTCCGGGGTGGACGATCATAAATAGGCTAAATAGTGGCAAAAATATTTTATTGAAAGCCAATAGCGGCTTTTAATAAAATATTTTTGGCACTATTCAGCCTATTTATGACCGCCCACCCCGGACCATCTCCTTCCTTTATAATGCAACGGTCAACTATTAAATATTCAAGTAAAAAGAAAGTTCGATGGTTCCTTAATTTATGACCACTCTTTTGCCAATAGCTCCACTATGATCCCCTGAATCCTTTAAAACAAAACATCTTTTTTATGACAAATTCAAAGGAACGTGTTATTCCACTTTCGAAGGATGTACTCTTTGACACCGTTAAGGTACTATTTCGCTGGCGCGGTCCACGACCGCGACTGCTCGCGGTTGACCACTGCTTTAGTGGAATAGAAAGGAACCTATTTCGCTGGCGCTGCTCGGCAGTTTAGGTATGACGTCATATCTAAGCTGCTCGTATCTGACTCCTCTTGAAGCAGTGGAGCTGTTGGCGGTTCGGCGGTTGTAGGTTATGTTATCATATCAGAGCATTGTTTTGATGATAACAGTCCCGTCGATACGTTTTATTTCCTATGTTTCTTTCAAGTCTGGCAAAATTATAACAAATATTGTTTAAAACTGAAACAATGCAATAGTAAATTCTTTTTTTGAGGTTGAAGTAACAAGATTATTTATTTATTTATTCCACCAGCAATATTTTACAGCGAAATACAAATATACCTAAATCCAAACGATATTAAATAAATTAAAGAATCCAACAAAATTACCCAACAAATTTTATCGTCAGGTAAATACTAAAATCCACCCATTGAAAAAACGATTTGTATTTTTTAATTAAAGTGGTGATTTACTGATTACTATTGATAAAACTATAAAACATCGCTTGCTGAGATTTAATTACAAATATATAATATTTATTACTAACCAATTATGTATTAATTACTATTATTTTTCAAACTAATAATATGTAATATCAGAGGGACTTTGATGATGAGCATCACATCGAAATACTGATATTCCTTCTCTTTATGAACAACATTTTCTCTTCTTTTTCCAACTCAAATAAAAAAGCGGTAGTCAGAGATGTTCATTATTATAGGAAGTTCATTTTTATTCTTATATTATGTCCATCTTTTTATCTTCGAAGATACAGTGAAATGTTCGAAGGTTATAGGCAGGTTATAACAACCCCAATGAGCAGTTTCAGCGAAATAGCTACGTCAACAGCGGTTGGCAGGGGGGAATAGCGGTCGCTGTCGTCGACCGCGCCAGCCAAATAGTACCTTTAGCTGCCGATAGCCGTTCCACTCTGGAAGTGCTCTACCACTCCTATCCTCCAGAGGGCCGAATGTGCTCCTTTAAATCTTGGAGATAAGTGGGTAATGTGCCCCTCACATCACGTACTCGTGACGGGGCAACTTTATTCAACGTTGTGGAACAGGGATCGGATCGTGGCCACCTGGATCTGTCGAGCTCACGGTCTGAGGCATTTCTTCCACCGCCTATCTCCAACCTAATAAATACGCTCAGTTTAATCGGGCAGTAACTGTTTGCATTGCATTAGGAGGTACTTTATGGAATGGAGTGATTTAACCAAACGCTGTGAAACATTTGTAAATAAAAATCCTTTTAGCTAATGGAAGGGATGAGAAACCACAGGCCTATCTCGTCCCAACAACATACTAGATGCTAGTAAGAAAGGTCATACAGAAAATAAATTATTAAGAACTCATCCTATTTATTGTGTAAAATTATTTTAATAAAGAACCCTAATCATCAGTAAGTATGATGGATAATCTATTTTAAAAACAACTTACCTAGGACTCCACCTGGACAAACGCTCTAACCTTCCAATTAATTACAAAAGATTCATTTACATGACTATAATAAGGCCTATTTGGACTTACGGAGTTGAGCTATGGGGCTCCACTAAACCATCGAATTCCTCTCCTATCCAGTCCTTACAATCCTAAATCCTTCGTAAAATCCTCAATGCTGCCTACTTTGTTACAAATAAAATCATCCACAGAGACCTTAATGTTCCTTATGTATCAGATTTGGCCCAATCCATATATCTATCCTTCCATAATAAACTTCATAACCATCCCAACCCTCTTGTTTCTAAACTTACTTCCTATTCAATTCCTGATAAACCTCTGAGGCGTCTGAAAAGAAGATGGCCACGTGACCTCCTAATGGAGACATATCATTAGAGTGCTAATGGGTAGTTTCTCAACATGTGTTTCGTGTCATTATATCCATGTGCGAATTTACTAGATGTATTTTTTTTTTATACAGTTATCATATAAATTTTAAAAAAATAATAATAAAAAAACATTTTTTTTCATTAAAGTTCAAAGTGTTCAATTATTTTTATTATATTTTTTTTTTCCGAACATCAGTCCAATCATGACCCAGTGAAAATTACAAAGGTAGGTTGCCTTCTAATAATGATAGGCAGTTATATAAACGCTGGTAACAGTAACTGTCACCGTTATGAAATCCAGTAGTTATTTTCCAGTGCAATCTGCTGTGGTAATAATCCTTAGAGTTTTGCTGCCGTGTCATAAAGGAGTATAATAGCTTTCAACTGACACCGTTGACTTTTTATACATATTTTTTTTTTCTTTTTAATAAACTGAAATTATCCTCAAATGTTACATTATAAAAAGTATAATTAAAAATGTCACCGTTCTCAACTAAATAAAATAAAAACCTGTAACGCCGCTATCCATGGAAGACTCAGTACGTCGCAAGAAAGTACTACTTCTTGATCAATGGTTGTGCAAGGAGGTGATAGACCAGAGATCACGTTTTTTTTTTCTTACATTAATTATTTATTTAAGAGTACCCATTTTGTAGAAGCTAAGTACACTCCAGGAAGGTGTCCTAAACCCAGAGTCAATCCACCGCAGATGTAGCAGGATAAATAATTACCTGCCACAGTCCCGACTCGAACCAGAGATCCAGAACATAGAACCACGGTGCTTACTCACTGAACTACAGTTCTATATCACCATCATTTCCATAAAAAAGTTGCTCATTGAAATGAGTATGAATTATGGTGTAAATACATATATATTTACTTCGAGTGTTCGAAAGACTTCTTGGGGTGGCATTCAACTCCAGTTTTATTTGGATCTTAATTAATAGGTCTTTAGTTGGACTCCAAAAAATAATTACCTGCCACAGTCCCGATTTCATCGCGGCGAATCAAAGGGGCTTGTAAAGTTGTTGGGCTTAGTAACGAGAGAATTCCTAAAAGGTTAATATTTGCTGTGCCGAATGGTAAGCGTCTGAGGGGTAGACCGAAGCGAAGGTGGGAAGATTGTATTAAAGCCGATCTAAAGGGACTGGGTTTGGACAGCGAACGGCGGAGGGAGGTGTGTAATAAGCGATTGGTGGTGTCGGCATCGAGCCTTCGGGTTCGCTAAGCCTTTTAGAAGTATTATTATTAGTTTGACTACTTGGACTACTGAAATGCCTAAATTAGAGGAATGTTGGTTGGGTAGTAATTTTGAGATAATGAAAGATTTTTTTTTTATCTTCTCATTCATATACCCTTTATTAATATATCCTAATAATGAACGTACCACTGAAATCCATGAAGGGTTTAATTCTTAATAAGGACGTAATATTATAATGTGGGTTGAGTGTTTGTTGTCGAATACATGACCCTCCATTGAATGGTAAGAACCCCACTTTGGATTAGTGTATGCCCAAGAGGGTTTCTCGGACAGATTAGATCTATAGCTGATCAAACATGAACGATTTTTGTTTTTAATTTATGGTTGATTAATATTCAGGACGCGTTAATTATAAAGTTTTTATTGGTGCCGACGTTTCAACCCAAACATATGAGTCATCATCAGGGCGTGTTTCGAGCAGTGAAGTTATTCAAGTAGAAGATATTCATGTGATTTGAATATTTATCACTCATGGTATGTAGAACAGTCGACTAGTTTCCTTCAATAATTTTTTTTTTAATTCAGTTTTTTTTCTCTTCTTGTTATTAGGAGTTAAGAAATAAAATAGAGAAGTTCTAAGTCATTTCTTATAGGATTCATGAGAACTAGCAAGATTAGTTATAATTTAGCTCTAACTGAATCATATTTAGACGATTCATATATTTATTGTTACGGACGATAATAATAATAAATAAATGTCATTTAACCCGTCCAAGTTAATATATTCTTGTTCATCCCACGGCAGTGGTTAACCTTGATAGTTAATAACTATTCAGAAAAGTTTTTCCGCAGTCGATTCCTGCAAACTTCGTTAAAATCTTCTACTAGTTCAATTTTTGGTCTTAACTATCAGCAACTCGAGAGGAATACAATCGATTATGAGACTATTGACACAGGATAAACGGTACAATGGGCTCACACCAGATTGCCAAATGAAAACGGTATGCTACAACTTCCTGCTACGTGTGACGGTCTGAGCTGCTAACTGTTTACATAACGATTTTGTCTATACAATATTTTTTTCGGTTACTTCCAAGCCACTTTGGTAATTTACTTCATAAGAATAGGACGAAGGGATGGTACAGAGTTTACAATTCAAATAAAATGTCGGAGAGTTGTATTACCACTTGAACATGAAATATGTATAAAAACAAACTATTCCGCAATCTCGTCATATTTTCTACAACAACGGATATCTATAAAATGACGACCTATTTTTTGGTTGCAGCGAATGGCCGATTTTTGTTACTTTCACTGTTTCTTTTCTAATGCTCTTTCACTGAGAAATACAGTGTAACGCGTATCAACTGTTTTCTAGAATGTTTAAAGATACTTCGGTATTTCCCAAGAAACTTTTCAGTCTGATAACTAATGTTATTGCAGTTAGCAACATGATTTTTTTTTTTTTTTTGAAAAATACTTTTTAGGTTTAAGTAGTTTTGATATAAATTTGAAGGTTTTCCTTAGTGATAGGGTTGATTTTTCTCCATTCGAACCCTCATATAACCAAATGAATAATAACTTATTTATGTTATTTATTTATTATAACCCACTTTTTTTTTTAATTCACTCTGAGAAAATCGACAAGATTACGAGAAAAAATCCCTCAATTCAATTAATTAATCAAAATTAACTCAATAGAAATGAGTGAATAACCCATACTTTATCCTAAAGAGGGGAGCAAAATATCCCCGAAACGTTCATATAGTAAATTTCAACGTATAATGTTGCCTATTATCCTTCAATTATTTTTTATAATACAAACAAAAACCACCTCATTTATTTTCAGCCCTGTTTTCTTATGAATACTTGCTGTTTATGTAATTAATTAAATTTAAAAATTAATAATATGTTTTATTATTATTCAAGAGTAAAATAAAATAACAGAACAGCAGGCTTTAGAGCTACAAAGGAATGTAAAAAAGAATAACAAAATTAGTAAATAGGGATAATAAAAAATAGTAAGTTAACTTCTAATTTTAATTAATTCTGTTTGTCTATTAACTTAATTAATTTATTTGTATTATTTTTAAACTTTTTTTTTCTTTGTATGTGATCATGTTTATATTACTATTACCCTAATTGTACTTTTCAGATTTTTATCTTGATATTTTTATGTACTTCTGGTTACATATTACATTTTTTAAATGAATGACTGCATGTACCGGTATGACTGTGTTTTTAATTTACTTACTTATAAGTTATTTTATTTTTTATTATTATTTATTTGTTATTATGTATATATAATATTACAGTTATAATATTACTTATACTGAATTATTAAATAAATAAAAAAAAAATGTTTAGCCCTGATGATGCCCCACATGCTTGGGCAGAAACGTTGGCCAGCATAACAATCTAGACTCCAAATCCTATCATCATGCTTCATTTGACTATCATCAGCCTTTTATGTTTTATTTTTCTGGGTGAAGATCCGTGAAAAACGTTGTGGAGGAGAAATAAAATATAAGGAAAAAAAAAGGGTCAAGAATACAAAATAATCAATATAATAGAAAACGTTTAAATTATATGAATCTTGAGCGAGTTAATTTTTTAGTATTACATGACTCTTCGGTACTGCACGACATAAACGCATATAATTTCTAGGAAGGGGAGTAAGCAGAAAGTAGGTCATATCTCGACTGTGAACCGACCCAGCGAAGGACTAAAAGACCACCGCACCGTTCTTCCTCATTTCCTCTACATAGCCCAAGGCACTAGTTTTACTCCCGGTACACTCTTCGCTACAAGATCTCGCACAAGAACAGAACTTTCTCTCAAGGATCTAGGCAAGCGAGTTCTACCACATCCGAGCCGTTTCGCTCGAAAGAACAAATGCGGCTAAGTTACAGAATGGTAGAACACACCGAGCAACTTGTTTTAGACTTTAGCTTAATAATGTTGTCTTAACCTGACAGGGAGGAGGGAGCAGTAGGAGTAACAGCTCTTAGTTTCCTAAGTGGAAAATGTTTAAACCACAAATTTATGAAAAAATATATAAAAAACAGATATAAGTAGGTTGACAGTGAGGTCCTGATGGCAGAGAGTCTAGAGACACCAATTCGAATCCTGCATGGGTGGATTGAAATTGGACTCATGGAAGAATTCCCCATGACAGACCCATGGAATGAATCTCGATTTTCCCACTCTGATAAGAACAGATTTGGTTGTACGACTAGAACAATAATCCCCGAGTATCCTAGAAATGGGAAAATAGAGGATTGTACCGAAAAAAAAAGAAAGTTTGGTTGGCAATATTACATTATGCTGTAAGAAGCAAATTGCTAAATGAAGACTAATTCCTACACTGTTAAGTTAATTGTTACTTCCTTCTGCCTGATATGATGAATCTGTAATACTATAAAACACATAAAATATTTCTTTATTAAAAGTATTATATTATTTCTAGATATTGTATACAGATCTATTACAGTTCTTGTGGCAAACAAGATATTTTTACATATTTTCTTTTTTATTCTAAAATAGTTGTAATTATAGGGACACTAATTGTTCCTATCCGGACTGGAAGTGTTGACTTTTAATGATTATAAGCCTCTCTCAATTATTTTAGAACAGGTAAGTTAGAAACTATTCTTTGAATCTAGCTACGTCCGTAATATACACACTGAGCTTTGGTAGTAATACATGTGTGGGTCTTCACACCTCCATTTAAACATAAAATATATCAAGAACGATCCGAAATAAATTTAAATATATTATTTGACTGGAAAGTTCTGCGGAATGTTGTTTGCGACTTTTAAGAGTATGCATTTTTTTCACTCAAATTCGTTTCGAAAAATAAAATGGAAAAGATAAAAACGCGTTTGGATGACCTTAGGGAAGGAACAAATATGTAAATGATTCGAGATATTTGTGCAGGTGAAACCGTTACGAGAAGTGGCTTAGCTGATTGAGAGACAGGAACGAACACGAAGGTAGAAAAAGTCGACAGTAAAAAAAAAATAATTAAAACAACCGGTCCAATAAGAAACCTGCGATACTTCCTTCGGGATTTAAATCTGATTTGTCAGGGGATATATATGACCTTGGAGATCGAAAAAAATGTTCCAAAAACACGATCAGTGAAAGCGACGGTGAAAGGAAAGAGAGCTGTGGTTAGGCCGGTATCGATCCTGGGGTCTAGCAAACTATCACCTGTGAAATTCACTTTGATCCCGAAGTCCGTAAAGTTCTGGACGTCTGGGAAGCCCGTGTGAGGTCTCCCTTCAAAGGACACGGCGTCATACGTCGTGGACTATTCCGAAAGAACTCACGGCAACGACCTCGCAGGGACGTCAGCTGTTCGCTATCGTCTATGTATCGTCGTAAAACATGTTTGAAGGCGACGGCTGTCAATGAAACGTTTAAGGTCATGTACGCTGTCTAATACTGTTTAGATAAGTATATATACAATACATACATACAGGGGTCCTTAAAGAAACGCATGCAGGTCTTTTATAATTTACTATTTTAATAATATTATATTTTATTTCTTTCATTGTATAAAACGAGACAACCTGTTGAGTTGCTATTATTTCTTACGGCCTTCAAAAATGTGACATCATCATCACTAATGAATGAATACTTTTAATACTCATTATCAGGGATTACCATCTCCCCCTCCTCCCAAGGACCATACGCCCTCTCAAGAAGTTGTATTCCCCTCCTCTTCTTAAAAACACTGTAAGCGGAATCATAGTTAGAAAAAACCTGTTACTTATTAGAAAATTCCTCCCATTATTACAATCCAACAAAAATAAGAAACTCTGCAAAAATTTATATCTACTTCAAAATGTTCCTCCGTCAAAAATTCTAAATCACCTAAAAAAAGTCCTATCAAAGATTTTGTTGAGGAAACTTGAGCCATGGAAGAAGCTCGTTGATAACATCTACACATTGACACTCACATTATTTAAATTAATTTGGTTAATAATATTCTTTTAATATCCGTGCATTTTTAAAATTTAAATATTTATTGAAGTTAATAATACTGTAATATTGTTGGCTATAGATAATGATTAATAATCATAATTACAAATCCTCCCTGCCATTTTACATTAAATCCGTATGTAATATTCAGTTTAATTTACTAACTATGGTGAATTCTACGAGTACTTTGTTGATGTGACTCCATATTTAAACATCAAAACTATTTAATAAGAAGCTTAAAAGGAATACGTCCAAAATTGTGATAAAAGAAAATAATGTCTAGAAATAACATTTATATTTTTTTATTTGGTTTTATGGAGTGGAGATAGAGTAATGTTATGATCAAATAACTTTTTTAAATGCTTGTTACATGAAACACGCAAGGCTCTGAGGAGTTTTGTAATATAAAAAAGGTGAGGAAGGAACATTAGATAATTAGCACACATCAGATAATTACATGAAAAAATAGTAACATAAGGGATAGAAAAGAAGAAATCCTTGGAGGTCTAGGATACCCAAATTACTTTCGCCCACCATCCACTGCTAAGTTATTCCCTGCTCGACCTACGCATCCGAACACGCCTCTTTTGCAAGGGCGCCTAAATTAAACATTTGGTTCCGCGGAAAGCTGTCGTTCGTAAATTGTTATCCCGTCCGATATAGGGACATCAAACCACTTATATTCGGGGCCTCCATGTCAGGGGATATAATGGCACCGGACACGCCATCGACACATTATATTTCCCATGCAAACACCACCCACGCATCTCTATCCGATTCATAAGGTCAATTCTTCAGGGCAAAGAACTTTATACAGCAACCAAGATTTAACACATTGTTAGCAATTCGATATAAACAGCAGCATTTCGACCGAATGTTCGAAACTGGATATTCTTTTTTTTCAGACAGGAATCGAAGACATTGATTGGAAGTTCCATTTTGTAATTGATGAATGGACCATTACATCACAAGTGTTTCAGAATTGGTAGATAATGCAGTGCCGGAAAGTATCTGAACAGGCTAAAGATTTTATTTATTTATTTATTTTTTACAAATACTTTAAATATGTTGTGTTTTGAGTAGATTGAGTAAGTGCTATATAAATCTAGTTAATTTACTATATATAGAGTAACTTTCTCTATGTCTTAACTTATAGAGTTTGTATATAAATAAACTATTGTAAGTTCTACATCAATCGAATAGGCTTAAGTATAGTAAAATATAACGGGCGTCTTTTACCTATTCCTTACTATAGTTGCTTCCAACTATAAGCCCTGACAGCACAAGGTATTATAGCATCCAAAACCACAACTTATTTAACAAAAAAATATTTTTAATTTTATTCACTAAGACCATAACTAAAAAATTAAAATCAATCTAACCCTTCGTCTCAAAGCAAAGCCATAATGGCTTATAGTATATCCAAGCAAAGGTGTAGCCAGAAGAGAGAGAGAGAGAGGGACAATGGACTTAAGCGTATAGCAACTATTCTTTATTTCGTAATCAGTTTCATTTAAGATCTTGAAAACCAACAACCAACTTGTAAATTACAAAAATAATATTCATAATGCTATAGTGGTATCTGAGAGATATACTACTCTAATATGAAGAAAGAGACATATTATTTTTTGTTTCTCTAAGTGGTTAACTATTGATGAGAAACCGATGACTTGCAAGATGTCCACCTAATGTAATCTTTTAACCTATTTTAATCTTTTAGACTACTGCAGCACTTACTAGACAAACGATCTAAGCTTTCAATCAATTATAAACGACTCGTATATATGACAATAATAAGACCTATTTGGACTTACGGAATTGAGCTTTGGGGCTCCACTAAACCATCGAATTCCTCTCGTATCCAATCCTTACAATCCAAAATCCTTCGTAAAATCCTCAACGCTCCTTACTTTGTCACAAATAAAATCATCCATAAAGACCTTAATGTTCCATATGTTCCCGATCTGGCCCAATCCAGATACCTTTCCTTCTATAACAAACTGCAGAATCATCCGAATCCTCTCGTTTCAAACCTTGCTTCCTCCTCGATCCCTGATAACCCTCCGAGGCGTCTGAAAAGAAGATGGCCTCGGGATCTTCTAATATAGAACTTTAATTTGAGTTCTACCAATGGGTAGTTTCTCTTCATGTTGTACATGCCATGTTACAAATTTCTCATTTACTTATTGTATTCTCTATGTAATACAGTTGTAAATTCCATTAAAATAATAAAATAATAAAATAATAAAAAAAAAAATAATCTTTTAACCCTAATATAATCACTAATAATCCCGAATTTAACCGGTAATCGGCAATATCACCTATCGCTATTCTACTTCAGAAAGCAGATCGTTCCTAAATACAGCAGAAGACTCATTTCGGAGCGGCCGAAAGAGATTGATGTGGAGATGTGTAGGATAGAATTCAGAAATAGCTCACGTCTTTCTGACTCGAACTATATCGGCTGGTCTACATCTGGTTTACGTTTCGTCACTACCCCTTGACCGCATATCGACTGAACGCCCAAAACCAGCGTATTATTTTACAAAGATTTATATTATTATATTTATATGAGCGAAGATTATTTGTAAGATTATTTTATTGATGTTCAGCAAAGTAAATAAGAAATATGTTAAAGTTGTATGCATCAGTAGGTTTTAAATCAATCAATACTTTTATATTATTTATTTTAAAAATATTTCACTGCATTCAGAGTTTGTAAATAGGTTTCAAGTGAATATTATGAATATAGCATACGGAAAAGAGTACAAACACCTAATTATAAATTAATAAGACTGAGGTTTCTAGCGTAGAGGAAACGAACAACCTTTAGCAAACGGAAATTGTAAAACAGTTACATTCTAAAAGCGGAATTTGCAGATAAAACAGGATAAAATAATGGGACGGTAAATGAATAAATTCAAATTAAAATACGAAGGAACGTTCGAAAATACAAGAATTTTTAATAAATTTACACAAATTTATTAAATATAGATTTAGTTATATTAAATTGATTTAATCGTATAATAGATCAGTTCTAGGACTAATTTTGAAAGAAAAATAAAATTATGATATACAAATTAGCAATCTGTTAACAATAAAATAGTTTTTAAAAAAGTCATATTTATTTTCTAAATGAAGGCACAAAAATAAAAGGAATAAAACTTTTTCACGGATTCAAATCCAAAGTAAATTTTTTAATTAAAATTCTAAAAAAAAATATTAACTTTCTTTTTATTATTTAAAAAATATTTTGCTCTCGTGGATCAGCCAGTGATTCAAACTAAAGTCCCTTCGTAGCAACTAGAGTCACATCACACATAGTTATGCGGCATGGTATACCTAAAGAGCCTGCCGTAGTCGAAAAAAAAAAAACCTTCCTTCAAAACTTATCGTTACAAGATTTAAATTTTACGTCCTATCAACGACTTCTTTTTTTTAAAATACTGACATCGAAAGGTCCTTCAAGGATACTTTGTAAAGGAACATATTCGAGTTTCGAGTTAAACTGAACAGACTAAAGATTGTTTTACTTTGCTCTGTAGCAATAGAAAATTTCATGATATTTTTACAATATTTAAAGATATTTCGAATTCAATAAATAAATAAATTTTAATAATACTGAGTAAGCTATATTAACATAACCTATTGATAACAAGTTCTAAATATTTTTTTTTTTTTTTTTTACAATACTTGTAGCTAAGTATATATATATATATATATATATATATATATATATATATATATATATATATATATATACCTATTATTATATTTATCGTTCAACAACTTTCCAGGCCTATGGAAGTGATTTTTTAAAAATAAACCGAAAAAATACGGCAAAGATTGGAAGAGTTTATTATGACAGGGGGGGAGAGCCCCAGACCCGCTGACCCCATAATTCAGAGTGTTAACTCCAGGCTATTCTCGTCCGCTCCCTCAAGTAGTATCTGCTTTATCATTTTCACAAACAGGGTATCTAGGGCAAGTGTATATCATTCAACTTGGATTTATCAACGGAGTGGTTTAATAAAATATTATAGAACTAGGAGAAAACCGTATTACTTAGTAACAGAAATTTAAGTCGGTACATGGACAAAATAAACAATCATACGTAAAAAAAAAGTCATAAAAATCGGACAATTATTAACAAAGATACAGTCCATTAGTTTTGTTATACTTATGTCTTCCTCCTTAAATATATTGCATTTAGGAGTAGAATAGTCTACTACACTTTCTTCCTTGGTGATATATCAACTTTATTATTTCTTAAAGGCTTTATTAGTTCACATTAAGTGGTCCTAATCTCTGAAAAGAGCGCTTCACCTATTTCTAATCTCTTTAAACTCTTAGGTGAAATTTAATTACCAATAAAAAATAAAAACCTCTGTGGTTCGGAATTAACTTAAAACAATGAATACATCCAAAAATAAAGAAAATTAAAA